CGCGTTAACAGTAAATACATATATTCGCATAAATCGCGATTTTACGTTTGATATCGAAATATTATGTCTTCACTTATACTTAGTCATAAAGAACGCGCAGAAGGGCCATGGGTCAAATTACAATCAGAACCATGTAAAATACATATATTTGTTAATTATTCGCGCTTATTCAGTAAAAAATTAATACTTAAATTTTTATTTTGTTTACTTTTATAAGCACTTTTCACCTCTTTGATGTATAACTTAGGAGTTAAGGGAGCAAAAGCAACTGAAGTGTTTGTTCTTGATCAACAAGATAATTTCGATGACCTTGGGTAAGTGTAATTATTTAATAATTGGTTGCTTTTTCGCTTTATGTAACAATATATAGGTTTGATTATTATTCATTTTACGCGTCTTTTTTTTATTATAGAGAAATATATGGATTAGTATTTCTTTTTAAAATGATAGGTGATGTATCAGGTGACGTAAAAGGTTTGCATAGAGATGCCAAGTATGAACCTATTGACGAACTTCCAAAGAATGTATATTTTGCAAATCAAGTAAATTTGAAGCTCTTTCACTTTATATATATATATATATTTTCAAATTTTCATATCATGAAATTTAACATAATATTAATATACTAGGTTGTGGAAAACGCCTGTGCAACATTGGCAGTGTTGAATATTGTACTTAATTGTCCACAACTGGAAATCGATCAAGAATTGAAGGAATTTAAAGAATTCACACGGGAGCTTCCACCAGCTGCAAGTTCAACTTTCTATTTGACGTGATGTATTATGACTTATAAAATTAGGATCTTTTTTTAAATGATTTTTCAAATATATAGGCGCGTGGGTTTGCAATTACAAATCACCCAAATTTTCGTCAAATTCATAATTCGATGTCCAGGCGAGTGATGTTTTATATAGTGTTTCATCATAGACTTCAGTAATTAACATTATGCATTTAATATACATACTAATTAAGACATCCTGAAGAAGCATTGGTCGTTGAAGAAGCGGTGACCACGAAAAAAGGAAGAAGGAAGAAAATAATTGATGAGGTCGTCGGTGAAGCCTATCATTATATTGCCTACGTTCCTGTAGATGGTGAAGCATGGCAATTAGATGGTTTATATCCGCATCCTGTTAGTTTAGGTGCGAATGCCTATATAAAGTGTATTTTTAAAGTGGATTTTTTAAAGTGTGCTCTTTTTTTGACATTATTATGTGATTTGTTTTATGTCAGGAAAGTATTCGAATGAAAAAAGATGGTATGAAGCTGCTCGTGGCGAAATAAATGAACGTATTAATGGGTAAGCTCTCTGAGTTTTTTATTCAAAAACTTAAATACAAAATATTTATTATTTTACAGATTTTTTGTAGAACAAATAGATTATGTTCTTTTAGCAATAACTAAAGACGAATTAGGTATTCATCAAGACAGAATCAAAGATTGTATGTACATCAAAGGACTTGCAGAAAATAGACTGGATAAGCTCAGTAGTTCTTGGAGAGAAGTTGATAGTAAAGACGTGGGTGCTGTTTTATATTGTGAAATAAAGCTTTAAGTGTAAATTTTACTGCTTCCTTAATAAATTTAAAATTTCTCTATAGATCGATTTGTTTTTTACCGATGAAGATGGAATAAGGGTTATAAGCAGAGGAAATTATGTAGCTGACTTTGAAATTTTAACATCGTGCCATGATAATATTGAAAAGATCAAAGAATTACGAACGAAGATGGTTAATACAATTCAATTTTTGCTTGAAGAAATTGAAATAGAAAAAAAACGGAAAGAAGTAATTTATCTGATTGTGTAGAAAATTTCTTGCGTTTTTATTTGCGTTATCATGTTCATATTAATATTATTACTACATTTTTTAGGTCGAGAAAGAACGAAGAACATTTGACTATGGCCCATTCTTTCGTGAGTTCATCTCAATCCTTCATGAACGAGGCGAATTGAAAGGATTACTTGATGCAGCAGAGGATATGGACGAAAGAGATGAATACATATAAAACATTTGCTTTTTCTTCTAATAAAGCCTAAATCAATATTGAATTTTGCAGACTTAATTTCATAAATTTTACATTTACGAATTGCTTATAATTTTATTATCTTTTGTTTTATGAAGGTGAGCCTATTGTTATTTGAATAACATCTTTTTATAAACTTGTGAAAACATAACTACTATAAATGCTATTAATTAGTCAAAAAATTGAATGAATGTCCGGCTAAATTCATTGAAATCGATATATAGTCATACCTGAGCCTTTTTTTTCTGTTTTTAATTTTTTTGGGGATGTAGAATATAACTCAATATGCGTATGGATTATATAAAAAAAGGAGGTAATAAATAATTAATAGTTATTATTTGGCAACTATATAGTTTCTGCCGAATAATAAAGTTATTTGGCAGACAAATCATAGTAAGCTGCCGGATACCTAATCAATATTTTGTAAAACAGTTAAGAAAAAAAAGTAATTAAAGTAGAAAGTTCTTTTTTTTTAATATCTATTTTTTTATAGATTGCAAAGAAAGGTAAATTAAAGTTAATATCCATTGTTTTGAAACACAACTGGCACTAAACCAAATATCTTTATTATATATATACAAATAAAGTATACAACCTTAGTATTACAACTTAAGTTGAATACTTTAAGAAAAATGTGAGTTGTAATTGGGTTGTATAACCCAGAGTAAAATAATAAACTACTAAGCACAAGTAGTTTGTAAAAATTATTAGAAAAAAAGTGTAAAAATATAAAAGATACAAATAGATGTAAATAAGAATAGCTATAGTATTAAAATTTAAATAAAGGCATAAGTGCTCTGGTAGGTTTGAATTATAGTGAAACCTCCTAAATGACCCTCTATAAATGCACACCCTCCGACCCAAATATATACATCAGTGTTTTGAACTCATAGGAAGACATTCGCCTGATTGGTTAATTTTTGTAGATCTACCCGTGAGTTTCCGTAATAATTA